CTTTCATTGGCTCCCTCTAAGCTCCTCTCTGATTGGCCAGGGCTTTGCACAGGCTCCCACTAGCCTGCTTTACCCCCTTCCAGTAAGAGTGGGGCAGCCACCCACTACAATGCTGTAGTGTTTATCTTTTGGTAGATAAACAAAGGCCTTCAGTCTCCAGAGATTTCAATCTGGCATTTCCCCCACATTCTTTAAATGGTGAGGAGAGAAAACCCTATAAAGAAATAGCTATTTATATAATAATAAATTAATTCATATAATAATGACTTGAGGGAAAAAATTCCACTCTCCTAAGTAATTACATATGTTTATATTATATTTCAGTTCCATAAATAATAACAATAAAGTTATGTTGCAATTACATTATAGTTTTCACACAACCTGATAAAAATCCAGGACATTCAATAACACGTGCCCTATTCTCATTTCCCCCAATCCCAGGTTACTGACTAAAGAATAAAGTGCTGGTCATAAAACTGTGTAACATGATGAATCACATCACACCCCAACTTCAGCTATACATTTAATTTGTCTATGATTTATCCAAAACTTCACTTTTGACATTCACTTTTGGTCATTTAGTCCCTTATGGGGAAATACCCACAATTATTTTCTTAAAACCTTTCAAATGCTATGTAATCGAATTGAACATTACTGGCAGAATGCTCCCAGCTTTAATTTCTTTTGCCCAAAATGCACATTTTCTCCCTTGTATCCTACATCAAGGAACTGCACTGCAATGGACGCCACATTTCTCAGAAAACTCCCTATCCTGCAATCTGATCTGTTCAGGCAGATGCCTATTCCAATTCAGAGTCCTCCTGATGTCACACCGGGATATAGTGGACCGTCCACAGAGTCAGGTTGTCGGATCGGTTCCTAAAATTGTCTCAGGGACCAGATTCTGATGTCAGTAGGGGCGTTAATTCCTTTAACTTCGATGAAGTTATTCTGAATTTAGACAGAGATCAGAATCTGTCTCCTGGGTGTAACTCCAATAGTTCACTAACTCTGAAAACAGATGGTGCTGAAAACATATGTCATCAACACAAGGAATTTATACTGCATGCTAAGGTCATGCTTTTGCAGAAAGCTAATCTGAATCTTGGGATTTCAGGGGGTCTCTTAGATTCTAAATTCCAATCAATCCACTTCAACAAAAACTCTGGAATAGTTGCTTTTATTTCTTTCAATAAGCTGTAATGCTTACATACAAACTCCCAGCTCCCTGTCTCTATTTTGTCTTCCTCAGCTGATATAGTGAAGCAATACACTTGGTGTGTGGCAGGAGCTTGCAGAGGGCTAGCTGCTTGAGGCCTTGCTCAGACAAGTCATCTCTCTCTCTCTAGATCCATATCTCTAGTCTGTTTCTAGCCTGGGCGCTTCTATCTCCGTAATATTCCAAAGGCCTTTTCTGACGCTCCAGATTGTCAGGAGCTTTCATCATCTTCCATCTTGACTTCTGCAATCTCCTCTTCTCTGGTCTTTATGCCGGATACATTGTCTCCTAGTCCATTCAAAACACTGCTACTAGTATAAACTTTTTGACTCATTGCTCTGCCCACATCATCTGCAGCTTTGGGTCACTCAGCTTCCACTTCACCTCTGGATCAAATGCAAGCTCTTGGTCTTTGCCTTTATGATCTTTCACCATTTAGCTATTCCCTAGCTATCAGGTCTACTAACTTATTAAGACATCAGCCCTCTCCTTCACTTCAGCCAGCTCCATTTATCTGCTTTTCTCTATGTTTCCCTCTATGCACAAGCAAAGTTAGAATCATAGAATCATAGGACTGGAAGGGACCTCGAGAGGTCATCGAGTCCAGCCCCCCGCCCTCAAGGCAGGACCAAGCTCCATCTACACCATCCCTGACAGATGTCTATCTAACCTGTTCTTAAATATCTCCAGAGAGGGAGATTCCACCACCTCCCTTGGCAATTTATTCCAATGTTTGACCACCCTGACAGTTAGGAAGTCAAAAACTGTAAAGTCCCCTTCTGTCATCCTTTGTAGCTTAATGCCTGCTCTGTGGTGATCCCTACAATCACTCCCATCTGCCATTTTGTAAGGTAAGTGACGAGCTGAGAGCTCTGCTAACTTTAGTCATCATTTTATTGTAACCTCTAACCTACACCCTCCAACAGCTTAGCTATTGTGTCTGACTTGTGAAGTGCAGACCCACTGGAATAGAGGCTGGTTTGTGTATCGGTATGTTGCCCAACAAAATGGGGCCTCACTTCTGGATTAGGGGTTCATGAGCATTACTTCAATGATAAACATCCAGAGCTAAGACAGAGGTAATATTGGTAATTTGTAGAAAGCTACAGGAATATATCAAGTAGAGAGTACATCAGCCCTCCCAGACTCGAAGAGCACTGTTGCCATTTGATATTCATACCAGTGCTTTGAGCTCTAGAACTCATCTACCTCATTTATTTTGGGCCCAAGAGACACCAGATTTGCTGTCTGAGCAAGTGAGCTGTTAGTATTTTGTGGGAAGCTGTATTTTTATAAGTTTGGGATGGTTGCTCTAGTAAGCCATTGGTTTGTGGGTTTTAAACCCTAATCCTGTATATTTTCAATGACTCATCCAAGCACCTGGACTTGTGGTGTAAATGCTTTTAAAGAAACGTGAAAACTAAATATTTACTAGGCTCTTTGAAGATGTAGTCCCTATACAAGTGCTAGATGTTGTTTTTAAACTATGTAGAATCTGTGACGGGAAAAAAAACCTTGGACACACAAATTGAGGTTCAAAAATTAATGTGAAGCGCTGGCAAAATTTAAGGATAAGAATAATAATTCAAATGATCACTGTGCAATTACTTTATGTCTGGTTAACACAAACACAGAGCATGATCATCTAAATCAACCACAGAGCTCTTCTGGAAAGGTTGCAAAGCAACTTCTTACAAAGAAGTTTCTTTCTCCTTCTAAAATATGTCTGAAATAATAGATCAATGAATTTACTTTATACAGCTTTAAAATAAAAAGAACATTAATATTTTAGCTTATATTCCTTGGAAAGAGCTAAAAACAATTTTACAGCTGAACAGAACTAGCATGGCCTCCTTAGATTATAACCATGTACCTTTCCCATTAGAACATCTCATTTGTCCAATTATATTTCATTCAAACCTTAATAGATGACTCTGTAATAATCTTTCCTTAATATGTTAGTGTATTCTGTACTCATTGTGATGCAATCAAGGATTAGTTGCTTGCTTGTTTGGCTCTTTGTGTTTTGTCTCCTAAAATCTTTAATTTAAAATTTGCACCAAACAAACAAAAACCTCCAAGAACATCAATCTGAGTTTGAGGAGCCTAGGCTAACTAACTGACATGTCTTCCATCTATTTTAGCTTCATACATCAGTGGAAATGTTGAGGGAGATTTACAGAGCTGAAGATTTCCAGTCCTCAACTCAGGTTGCTTCATTTTCTAAGGTAAATATATTACTGGTAAGGTTCTTTGCAATAGAAACAATTTGTTGCCCCCCTCCCCCATCAACAACCTTAAACTAATTTTACCTCTGTATCTTTAAACAAAACAAACCTTCAACTGTACAAAATGAAAGTGAGTATGTTTAGTTCCTTTGCAGATAAATCACCCATTGATTTTAATTATTCATCTTCTGCTGTTTGGACAGTTCTGAATTTGAACTCTTCAGCTTCTTGTGTTACATACTTGTCAATTTCCATAGTGCTCGCTGATGGTCTTGTTTTATAGCAAATGTTTACTTCAACATATGCACAATAAATCACCACACCGTTGGGCTACACTCTCTACTTTTTTTCACTCTAGCAAGAGTGACCTGAATCTCCCTGCTATTGCTGTGTCTTTATTATTAGATATTTAATTCAGTAAGGTAAAGGCACAAAACGCCACCAAACCTTTGACATAACATTGGAAGAACTAACCATGCGAGTAAAATAAGATGATGAAGAGGGTTCGCTTTAATTTGTGAGGAAAGGGGCAGGATAAAGCCAGGACACTCATTTATTTGAAAGCACCATATTTCGCCTCTTATTGCATACTGGTGGGCTGTCGGACAGTGAGTAGTTGCAGAATGTCGCTTACCTGTTGCGTCGCTAATGCTCCTGAGTTCCGGGAGCTGTCCAATGTACCGAGTTTCTAGTCGGTATACCTTCAAGACGGTGTCCCAAAGCAGGTGGTGAACCAGCCTCTTCTATTCTCTCCTGCTCACACCTAACTGTGCTGGCTTAGCGCTTTTCTGATTTGCTTTGAAATTCCGGGCTTGCTTCACATACAAAACCCGTAAGGAGGAGTGTGTGTATTGGGGGGGGGGGACTCATTCTTCGCCGAAAAAGATACTTGGTTTGCCACAGCTGTGCAGTGTGTTGGCAAGGGGAGGAGAGCTTTGTTATCGATCGGAAATGTTTGCAGTCCTGTAGCCAAACAGGAAGGATGGTCCCCGTTTGGTTGGTTGGCTGGTTTTCTTTTGTTAGTTTCTGGGGATTTTTTGAAGTGATGGGGTTTGAGTTTCCCCCATACATTAAAGGCTAAGTAGCCCAAAGGCGGCCGTGGTGTGCTGTTGATAAGCATTTGGAGATGCTTTTCCAAAATAATTGCCGGCTAAGGCCCAAAGGGTTCCTCATATACAAAAGCTATATAGTAGGACATAGATAAAGAAATGTAATTCCAATGGAGTGTGCATATCTCCATATAGCAGGTGTGTGTGAACTGGAAAATGCAACCCTCCTACCCCCACAACCGCCTAAAATTCTAACTCGATAAAAGCAAAGGCAATCCGCAGGCCTCGGCTACAATAAACTCCTATTATCTCATTCAGCTGGATCCCTTGAATGGGACGATGCTAAACGCCTACGGAAGACAGAGTTTTCCACCCAGTGCTTTGAGATCAGCTGGAACAAAACGGGCTTTCCAAGGCGGTGTTTTCCTGCCCCGCTGGGTAGACGTTTGAGCTCTAGCTGAAGGGGGGGGGGGAGAGCCGATTCCAACAGTTACTGTTGGGAATGCAATCCGGGGTCCCCTACAATGCTTGCTTAGGCTAATGGAGGTCCTGGCATTCAGCTCTCCTGGCACCGGGATACAGGGTAAACATTCCCCGGTGACCCTCTGCGTGCAGGTCCCCTCTCCAAAAGCTCATTAAAAGCCTCAGTGCACTTGTCGGCCATCAATTGCCCGGCGCGGGGGCTCGCAAGGTGCAGAGCGAGAGCTCGCTGCAGCTAGCCGGGAAAGGAGCCCCGTGGCGAGCAGACTTGGCCGCTCGGACTTGAAAGCGGCTGGGGAGCGCTTGGTGGCGGGCGCGTAAAGAGGAGACAAAAGCGCTCAGCAGGTAAGGGCGAGGGAGGGCTGCCAAGCAGGACCTGTCCCTGATGGCGGTGACAGGCTGGCAGCCGCGGGGACCGCTCGCCTTGGCATGTCCACGCGTCCCCCGCGGGCTGCCTGTCTCATCTCATCAGCCGCGAGGGGAGACGTGCCAGAGGCTTCCTTTGGGGGCCCGCTAATCCCCTGATCTCCAGGGTTATAAATATTCACGCCCCGGCGCCGTGCGGCTGGGATGGGACCAGACAAGCCCTCGGGGAAGTGAGACATCAACCACCGGCCCCGGGAGCACCGATGAAAGACCCCGCCGAGCCCAGTCAATGGCGTATCAGGACGGGCTGGTGCTGGACTTCGTGGCCGATCTCTCCCTGGGGGCTGCGGAGTGCCACCCCCGAGGGGTGCCCAGCCTGGACCTGTACGGCTTCCCCTCCGGACCTCCGTTTGGGGAGCGAGCCCTGGCTCTCCGGCAGGGGCTGCCCCTGGTCCCGCTTGAGGATGGCGAGCCCGAGGAAGAGGAGGAAGAGGAGGAGGAGGAGAGGATGGGGGGCACGTCTCTGCTGGACAGACCCAAGAGAAAGCGAGTCATCACCTATGCCCAGCGCCAGGCGGCCAACATCAGGGAGCGGAAGAGGATGTTTAACCTCAACGAAGCCTTCGATCAACTGAGGAAGAAGGTGCCCACCTTCGCCTACGAGAAGCGCCTCTCCAGAATAGAGACCTTACGCCTGGCCATAGTCTACATCTCCTTCATGACTGAGCTGTTGGACAGCTGCAACAAGAAGGAGGCGAGCTAGGGAGCCGAGGACGCAGTGGTTCTCCATCCAGGGAGGGAGGCGGACAGCACCATAGCCCAGGCAGGCAGGAGAAAGGACGGGGTGTGGCAATTTATCACAGGCACTGCTCTTGGCTGGCTGGTTAGTGCCTTGGGTCACCCAGCGGATCCTCGGGATGATGGGATAAGACCAAACCAAGGGGCACCCGGGGAGGGCGAGCAGGGAGGAGAGCACCACGCTCTGCCCATTTATCGAGTGGGACTTTGGAAAAGAAACGCGCGATGGGTTTTTTTTGTTTGGCTCTTTTTGCTTCAAACGCTGCAACCTGCTGCCCGTGGGAAAGGTCTGAGCCTCCCCGCGCTGAAAGGGACCTGGTGGCTTTCAAGGGGGTTTCCCTGAAGGCGTCCGTGCCTCTCAGAGATGAGGACTACGTGCTTTCCACAGGCCGCCGATGCAACCTTAGCGGGGCCGGCGTCCAAGTCCCTAGTCTGTCCCTAGCCTGGCAAGTCAACCGAACGCCTCGCATGCCAGCGGAACAGCACAATGTGCCCCGGGCGCGGAGCTGCGAGTTGGCACCCAGGAGGGCTGGGAAAGGCAGGGGCTGGGCGAGTCCAGCGGCGCCCGATCATGTTGGCAAGGCCCTGAATAAATGCAAGAGAAAGGGGGCCGCGACCATGATGAGCCTGGCTGAGAGGAGGGAAGAACTTGCGGCCTGAGAGCAGAGCTCCGGGGAGCCGGCGAACACAGCAGCTGGCTGCAGGGCGGGACACAGAAGCGCGTGTCTCTGCTGGGTGATTGGGTTAAACGCTGAATGTGTCGTGGCAGCAAGGAGCGCCCGGTGGCGAACACCCCCCCCCCTGCTGGGCCAGACCCCGGCTGCCCAGCGGCTACCCCCGGGCCAGGCCTGCTGCTCCCTCTCTCTCTGCCTCGGCGGGTCCGCCGGGCTCCCCGCCGCCCCCGGCACGCAGCTGGCGCCGCTAGAAACCCCAGCGCCACCTCTAGTGTGTCCCCGCGGCCCGCACGGGCTAATTGGCTTTGCCAGCCTGTCTCGCTGCCGGCGGGTGGACGCTTCCCACAGGCCCGGCGAGGGGCGGGTTTAATTATTTTGGCATTATCGAGAGTGCCGCCGAGGTCACCCGGCCCGGGGCTGGCGGCGAGAACCAGCCGCGAACGAGGAGCTGAGCAGTGAAGGGGGAAAGTCCCTTCTGAGTCCCAGCTGCCTCCGCTCCGCTAGGGGCTGCTTCCCTCGGCGACAGCTCTGGCCTTTGGCCCGCAACCTGCTCCTGGGCGCCCTCGGAGCGCAGGTCTGGCCTGCGCCTGCCGCCCTCGCAGCCGGGGCAGGGATAGCGGTGGGGCCCGGCCCAGAGCCGGGTGAGTCACCCCGGCTGTTGCTGCATCCAGCTTGGCTGTATTGCTAAAAGATCTGCCATAGGAATTACTGAGGGGAAAGTCTGTGGCCTGGGTCATATAGACGGTCAAAGCAGAAGATCACCAGAGCCCCCATGGCCTTGGAATCAGTGGTTTGGGGGCCAGGGATTATGGGGGGGGGGAGTGAAGATTTGAACTGTCTAAAAAATGTTTGATATTTTGAAAATTCAAAAACCTCAGCTAACCCTACTTGGGATTTGAGCACAGAAAGCACAGACATTTTCCATTCCATTTCCCCTCCCCTCTTTTTTAAATTTCAAAATGTTTCCATTAAAAAAACTCCAACCATAGGTAATCTAAAACTAGAACAGCTATGTCTACGTTGCAGACAAATATTTATCTGTGTATCTATCTCTACATGCATTCTAGTGTCCCTGCTCCCTCTCACCTTCCTTTCTCCTGGTTTTCCTTCAGCTGATGTGTTGTCACTTCATCTCCAGTGAGATCAATAAAACGCAGGTTTATTTACCCCCACCTTACATCAAAAGCATCTTAATAAACAGTTTAGGGGTGGAATGTGCCCTCACTGAAGTCAGAGAAAGAACTCCCTTTGAATTAAGTGGCATAAATTTGCAGCAGTGCCAATGAAGTCAAAAGAGTATTTTTGGATTTGTGCCAGCATAACGGAGATCGGACTCTGGGCCAAGTGTCTCTGATTTATAGACCACCATTTTGTTAACTCTCATAAAGAGTTATATTTCTTTGTGTTTATTATTTCCTATTAATATTGCTATTAACATTTGCATTGCTGGATGCTTATTACCTATTTGTGCTGACCTTCCTGATTCAGATATCAGTTGTTTTGCATTATATCTCCTTTTTAGGTTATTGAAATATCTTTTTTAAGAGACAGCAGGCTGGCTAATGCAGCCCAATACTCATTGTAAAACTGCGGTATTCCCTATTAACATAATTTCTGCTAAAATTAAACCCCTCGATCAATAAATGGTCCAGATGTGTATTGTTGTTACTGTTGTATAAAACAGCAAGATGAAGACAGATTCTTTAAGGACAATGGAGTGTGCAATTAGATTTTTCTTTTTAAAACTACTTTATAATCTTTATATAACTGTGCTTTCTGGAGAAAGACTGTATCACAAGTGTTCATTTTTATGTCACTGGATGAAATTAGGTTTCTATAACCCAATTTATTTTAAGAGCTTCAAAATGTAAACATGTCTGTGTGAGATAATTCAAAAAATTATTGGTTTTCTTTTTTTGGCTTAATAACTAAACATTGGAACATATTCAAGATCAAAATTGTTTTCATACTTGTGTTAACAGTTAGGAAAAGACAGAAAGCAATGTTTGTGTTTTATTATTTATGTACGAACCAAAATCCTGATCCTATATAATTAATTATTATTAAAGAATTCACTGGAAATTTTAAAGTAATAAGTCAGAGCTATCATGAAATTCCTCTTTGAGTCATCGATTGTGAGAAAAAAAAACACTGCTATTGCAATTTATGCCAGAGGAGAAAATGTAAAAGCAGCACAGGGCAAATGTCAAGGATCTCCACTGGTGCAAACTGCTATTGCACCATTGCCTTCAAAGGAACTACTCCATTTCTAGTAAACCTCTTCCTACAAATCAACTATCAAGTGCAAGTGTTTGGCTTGCTTGTCTCAATTTATTTATCACTGACTTGGATGACTTTATAAAAGTGAACACGGTCTGATACAAAAGTGTTCTTAGTACAATGCTCTCATGGGCTCCCTTGAACAACTGTAACTAGATCTGTCAGGCAGATCCCTTCTCCATGTGGGACTCTGTTGAAGGCAATGGGATTCTACATGGGTCCAACACTCTGTCTCTGTGGAGCCAGCTATAATGCTGGAGCATTCGTGTACCAGGTACGTAAACACATTTTGGAACCATACTGGACAAGTTTCCAGTTGCAGTATAATCCTTTTTTGTTGCAATCAAAAGTACAGTGGGCCTGATTCTCATCTCACCTACCCCGGTTTGAATCAAGGGAAACACCAGTGAAGTAAACGGAGTGATGTGAATCTGGGATCAAAATAGGATGCAATGAAATCCTGGCCTTATTGAAGTAAATGGCAAAACTTCTATTGACTTCAGTGGGGATAGGATTTTACCCAGTATATTTAAAGGTCTCCAAAATACAGCAGCCACCAGTGCTCCAGTGCACAAGCTAATCACAGCTATTGGTCTTCCTAAAGGACCATGCTATTATCACCACATTAAAAAGAAAAACTGACAGTGTCAATTACTCCTGGGAAAAGATAATAAGGGGGTTTTTAAAGTCTTAGAGCTGTTTGAACAAATACCATTTTTAGATCTTGCTCTGAGGGGAGTTTGTTTATATTCCCTTTGCTCACTGAAGGCTGGCTTTTGGTATAAAGCTGAGTTCCCTCATAGCTATCAGGTTACTCTTAGTATTCAGACATGTAAACCAAAAAATAAGTCTAAATGAAATCGTATTTGAAAGACATTACCAAGCTTTCCAAGAGAAGTAAAAATAATCAAAAGACTTTACAATCTATAGTCAGGCTGATCTTGTTTTACAACTGCCCAACCTGAAAGCAGATTTAAGCAAATTAGTGCTGGAAACAGAACAAAATATTATGATAGAATTGAAAACTCCTGCATCCACATTCTGACTAGCTACTAAGGCCCCATGATTGGTGTTTATTATCACATTTGTCAGCATTTCTATTATAAACACACTAGTGTGGAGGGTTTATAATTCAGCTATAAAAATTCCCTTCAGGACGAAACTTGATAAGTGAAGACTTAGCCCAAGAACTTTTTTTCCTTTTTCAAACTTTAATATATTAGTCTTTAAAGACACAGGGGTACTAATCAGAATAGATAAGATGTGGGCTTAGACTCTTTTGGGGGTGCATATTTCTTTAACTTCAAATCAGCTGTGTTTCTTAAGAGAAATTATTTTTTTTCTACAGCCATTTTGCCCCATATGAACTTGAACCTTCTGGTTCTTTAAAAAATTGCAAATAGTTGAGATAATGAGGCTTAAAATGTCCCTGCAGCACATATATAGGACCAGTATTCAGAAGGCTTTTTTCTGTGCACTGATATTATTGATCCATAATAATGAAAGTGCAGCAGGCCTCAAGAGCCAATAATACACCAGTTTCACATTCTAGCCCTGCACCATTGGTGAGAAAGACTGCCTCTCAAGAACTGGACTTTGTAGCCATTTGTGACACTTTGGCATGACACACATGACACACATGGCTTGTCTTCACAAACAACACTATAGCAGCACAGCTGTACTGGTGTGGCTGCCCCACTGTAGTGCTTTAGTGAAGATGCTACTATGCTGACTGGAAAGCTTGTACCAGCAGTGAAGCAGGTGCTATGTGGTCAGGAGAAGCTCTCCCGTCAACAGAGCATTGCTTACACTGGGGGTATAGCATTATAACCACGTCACTCAGTAAAGTGGATTTTTCATGCCCCTGAGCAACATGGTCATACCAAACTAAGTCTATAATGTAGCTCAGGACATTGTAACTCTTTGGTGTTAATACCATCATTTCTTGAGAAGGAGTGTTGTGATCTAATAGAGCAAACTATGCTTTTGCATATCCCAGGCATGGAAAACCTCTGGCCCATGGGCCAGACATGGTTCACCAAAGTTAGCCACTGGTTGACCACCAGATGGTTGGTTTACCTGAGCGTTTGCAGGAATGGCTACTCACAGCTCCTGTTGGCTGCAGTTTGCTCTTCTGGGTCAATGGGAGATGCAGGAAATGGTGGCCAGGCCCACACCACTTCCAACTGCTCCCATTGTCTGGGAACAGCTAACTGCAGTGAATGGGAGCTGTGATTAGCCATGCCTGCAGACGCTTAGGACAAAAAAGCATCTGGCAGCCTGCCAGGGTTAACCTTGATGAACCACATGCTGTCGGTGCGTCAGAGTTTCCCCACCTCGACACGCACTATAACAGTTGCAAAGGCTGTTGGATAGACTGAAAACATTGATACCAGTTCGACCTTTAAAACCTTTTTAAAGAACTGCTCAATCTAGAGCATTCTCATTTAGGCCTTGATACAAAAGAATTCATTGGTCCTAATACCAAATAGCCTCTACAATTTGCACCACCTCTAACAGTATGTCTAGGAAAAACTACCAGTGACTTCAATAGGATCAAGAATTCAATTGCAATTGCCTTCAAGATTTTGTTTAAAAATTATAGGATGGAGTCCTTAATGGAATACACACCTGGTTGAAAAAAATTCCTCAGGCCTGTCTTCATGTTAACATGACCTTTGAATGCAATTCAGCTGAATAACATATGATTTTAGAATTTGTCTGAACTGCTTTACAGAAACTTGTTTCTCACCTTTTTCTCCCCTAATTTCAGAGATGACTCTCAGGTCTGTTCTACAAAAGGCTTTTATCCTCTAAAATTTTCCACTGTTGCTCCACTGGTATTAACAATACAGTAGAGAGAGTCCAGTCCAGATCATCCTATAATAACCCTTAATCTTGGGATATATGATGTTAATTTTCACATGTGTATATATACTTGTAAGAGAGCATATGAACTGTAACGGTATTTGAATTTTTATGTTTATTATCTTAACAGCATTGTTTACAGAATTGTATTGGGTTTTGTGCTTTAACTATGGCATTTAGAGGGTCTCCTTCTGTGGTAAACCACTTAGGAAAAGAAAATTTCTACAAAGATCCCTTCATGGGATTCCTCCCCATTGCAGGAACATGGGCCTCACTACTAAGAGGTTTAATGTGAAATCAGAATGGTCCAAGGTTGGATAGTTTGCAGGAACCCATGGGAAGCCAGGGCTATTCCTGTCTCACCACTAGCTCTGTTGCCTACATATTCTCCCTCTTTCCAGAGCTCCATGGAAAACAGAAAAGGGTATCATGCTGTATCACCTTTCTCACTTCAGCTCATGGGGTTAGAGGGACACAGTATGTGCCTACTCCCTTTTATAGCCCACCTATTGTCTTCTCCCAAACCCTGCTTGGATCCAGGACCCCAAAGGAAGAGAGTGATTCTGTGAAGGCAGCTGACCATTCATTGAATTCTACAGGCAAGAAGGAGATCTATGTGTAGAGGTTACTTTTCCATGCGCAGATCAGGAGCTGATGATCCAGACTTGGATATTTATTTTTTCTAATACATGTTACTTACTGAAGCATCCTTCATTTTATTGAAGTATTTTTTTTTCTTTTTACACGTGGACTTTCGTAGGTCAGAGGAAAAGGGGGAGGACTCTTATTAATGATGACTGTATGTAAATGTACAATCTCAGATTCTTGAAGCCAAGGCCCACAAGAGTTTCTTGAACAATTCTGATTCATTCCTAATGTTATAGAAGATTCTTTCTCATTTAACAGAAAAAAAATCCACAATTTTAAAAAATGACCAATGATCTGGGGAGACCTGAGATGCCTTACAAAGGTCCCAATTTTTAAAGCATGAGTGCTCAGTGTCACTTGAAACTCAGGATCCCTTAAGCAGTCCCAAAGTGGGGTCAAATCACTTTAGAAAATGTTGGCCTTTATTCCAAATATTGAACATCCTTCTACACTCATGCCCAAATGAATGTGTGCAACCATGCACGTACACTTCTGTATGTGTGTATGAAATGCCCAGGGCATATGTGTAAGTCAGGCAAATGCAGAAATGTGCATACCCACTAGAAGGTATCTGCCTTGAACAACAAAGACTCTATGTAATTTGGTCAGCAAGAGCCATCAATGGAATGTTTTGCTCCACTGGGTTAAAGGCTATCATTTCTTCTTCATTCCCTGTCACTGTTCCAGACATTTTCTGTTCAATTAACAGACATGTCCAGAGTGGATGGAATGCTAGTGTGAATTTCACCTTGCCCTAATGAGCTACATTAACTAACACTTTTCCCTCCTCCAGGAAACAGGGAGGGAGAATGCATAGAAGTATGTGTAAAATGAGGCAGAATATTGGTCACATGGCTCTTAGCCAGAGATGGGCAATCATTTTAGAAGGGGAACCACTTCACACATTTTTGAAGTGGCCCCAGACTGCCCCAAAAGAGGCAGGGCCTCAGGCAGAAGGGGTGGGGCAGGACACTTCCATGCACCCCACCCACAGACCCTGATTAGCCTAAGGGTGGAGGAGCATGTGAAGTCTTTGCAAGGGGCACGGGGCGCTTAGAGTGAACCGCCAGTTCTGACATTCAACAACAATGCATGTGATCTCAAGTTGCAACAGGGTGTCAGATTTCTATGCAAACACATGAGTGACCACGTTCTGTCATTCAGCCCACACCATGTAACTCTGTTCCCGCCCCTCCTCCCCAGTTAGCCAAACAAGTGACAATCTGAAATCAGCTCCTTCATTTAGCTGACAATCTGCCAAAAATGTGACATCTTCCAAAATGCAAAGATCCATCTGTTGTCTGCTTCCATGCAGAGAAGTGGATTTCTAAAGGAAAGTGGGTGTTTGCCCTAGCTGGCTGGCATTAATTCAAATGCTAAAGTTATCCAAATACTGAATCTTCCTAAGTTACCTTTTGAGGCACATTTTGACACAGT